CTCTGTGTGCCCCTCGTTCCCTGAGTTCTGTGCAGGGTGGGCAGGGGTCTCTGGGCTCTGTGCAGGGTGGCCAGGGGTCTCTGCTGTGTTTGCCCCTCGTTCCCTGGGCTCTATGCAGGATGGGTAGGGGTCTCTGGGCTCTGTGCAGGGTGGGCAGGGGTCTCTGCTCTGTGTGCCCCTCCTGTGCCAGCTGCAGGACGCTGCTGCTGCTCAAGGTGCCCCTGTCTGTCCCCACCAGGGCTCTGTGCTGCTCTAAGCATTTCCCGAGGTGGTGCCTGTGCTCTGCTCGTGCTGAGCTCGGCTCAAACAGCTCTGCTTCAGCGTTTCTGTGCTCTTGGGGTGGCTGCAGGCTGGAGCTGGGTAATGAGCCCTGCAGGATGGATTCCTTGTCCAAAAACACTGGAGAAAAGGGCTGCAGGTCTGGGGGGCACCTTAGTTACACCTTTTGGGTTTTTCACAAAGGGCTTTTTCCTCAATGTGTGTGTTGAAGATGAAAGGCAACAGGTCATCCTGTTTTTCCCCCTTGGGAAATCTGTGAATTTATTTCTCTGGCTAATTTTTTTTAATAGCTTGTTTTTCCTACATGCAAGCCATGACATTTTGCTCTGCATTATCATCCCAGTGTAAGCTCCTGGATGAGATCTAAGTGGGGAGGAACAAGAGTGAGCTCTGGGTCCTTACCCTTCCAAAGTACAGCTGGAAAGAAAAATCAACTGTAAAAGGCAGAGTAAGAATCCTCTTCATCTTCACACTTGAATTTATCCAGCCTTTTGTGGTATTTTTTACCTGCTCTGTGCAGGTAGTTCCTGCTAATCAGCCTAATGAACTCGGGGCTGTGGTGATGAAGTGAGTTCTGCCGCCCCGACCGCCGATAAAATCACCCCAGATTTTACAAATTGTGACACTYTGATTGTGCTGGAGGCGTGTTTAAAATGCAGCAACAGTGTTAATGGCAATTCTTAAAACCACTTGTGGGTTGCAATCTGTATCTTCAAATTAGCCACGGCAAAGAGAAATGGCAGATAAAATATCCGCTGTGGTTTGCTGTTGTTAGTCTCTGCCTGGAATAATCATCGTGGGCATGGAACGGGAAAAGGATTAAAATTCACTCCCTACTGCTCAAAGGAGAGATAAATTTCCTTGCAGGCAAATGGAGAGGGTTTGTTGACATGATTTTGGCACGTGTGTGTTGCTCCTGTGTGGTTTTGGGGTGTGTAACTCACCTGCCCCAGCCCTGCTCGGTGCAAATTCGGGGATTGAATCAGGCAGAGAAAGAGGGATTTTCAAAACTGCTCTTTCTTCAATTCTTGAAAACCCCATCCAAAATAAAGCTTCGTGGAGCACTCTGCCCCTGTGATGCGTTTGATCTGGGAAGTCTTTTCTGATTTTAATGATTCTGCGATTCTATAACCTTAAAAATGYCATCAGGCCAGTCATGCTGTGCCTCTGCTGGAGTATTTTAATGTCCAGCTATTCCTGGATGTTCTCTAAGGAAAATAAAACTCAGCTCTGGCATTTCATGCTGATCTGTTTAGCTGTACTGAAGGCAGGCTGCAAAATCTGAGTGTTTAATTGGAGTGGTGAATTTTTGGAGTATTGTAGGCAAGATGATCCCTGGAATCACTGGGATTCTCCTTCCAGGGGTTCTCCTGGCTGTGACAGTGAACAAAAAGAACCAGCCCTTGATAAACAAATAGCCCTGGGTCAACTTGGTCAGGTGCCATTTCTTTTTGGATAAAAGGTGTTGGTGATCCTCTGTTTCTATACTATTTTGTTTCTGCAGTTCTCTATAAAYCACACACAGAAGTTTTCCCAGAATTCTGGCAGATCACTTCCCTCACKTTCTTCACTGCCTAAAATTTCATAGAGCTGAAAATTACTGGGTCAATCTTGAAAGGATTCAGTAATTGGAAAGAAAGGAAAAAAAAAAAAAAAAGGAGGGTGGTGTTATTTTGTTACCCTTGCAAAGTGCAGATAAAATCTGGAGTTCAGCATTAGTTATTGATCTTTGGGGGTGGAGGGAGCCTGGCAGGATGATGATGTCCTTCTAATTTCGTTATGAGAGGAGCTCAGGAAGCATTTCAATGTGCAGGGTGGGGGCTGTGCCCTTGGGCTCTG